TCATCAGGCTTAAATCCAATGTAAAAGTTGTGCCTTCATTCATTCATTCATTCATTCATTCATTCATTCATTCATTCATTCATTCATTCATTCATTCATTCAATGATTTCTGGTAATAAAAAAGGTTTGGTGAGTAAAATGTGTGTCTGAACTGGTTTGACCAGTTTGTCTTAAACAAAGCATTTTGTCCCTCTCTTTCTTAGTTTTTATCAGATGAATTCATTTTTTAAACCCGGAGCTAAGACCACACCCTGAGAGATATCCTTTTCCTTCACTGATATGGCTCCCAAATTTAAAACCATTTCCTTTTTCAAACGTGCCCCTGGGGTTTTTACCCACACATCGGAGCAATCTCAGTAAACAGATAGCTTTGAATGAAACTTACGATGAGCATTAAGAAACTCAAGCGCACCAGAGCATGCATGATCTATAGAAAAGTGCATCTAAAAGCAATTGACAGAGTCGTAAAATATAGTTTCTCTCTTTAGGTTAGAGAGGAGGGGATGTTGACTGAAGGTCGGTGTGGTGAATGGTTCACCACACAGGCCTGCGTCCTTGCAGGGAGAGATAATTACACAGCAGTTTGAATAAAGGGTGTACACAGGCAAACAACTCCTATGCTCCATACAGTGCAGTCTGGAGCCATGTAGAAGGAGGAACTGTGCACCCAAAATTACAGACCTTTTTTTTTTTTTTGGTGGCTACAACACAACAGCTATCTTATGCATGCTTTTAACTGAAATCACCCACAAAGCTGCATGAAAGTGCTTCAATCAGTGCTTCAATTCAGTAGCTTAAGCACACAGTTTAAACTGGGATAGGCTTCCAAAGACCTTATGATTCAAAAGAACAAAGCAGTACAGCCCTATTCTTCTCTTTGGAGAGAAAAATCACAAAGTGGGAAATGATTTAAAGGCTCCATTGTTATTGGAATGCATCCTGTTGCAAATCCCAAACAGAAAGGAAATTTGAATGGCTTTAACACAAAGACAGAGCTCCAATGTTAAAAATGACCTCATCATGCCCGCCTGCCACTGAAACAAACCCTGCCGGCCTTAGCGGCGTCTCCATGTGTGATCTCAGACAGCATGATGAAACTTGGGAATCAAATCATGTGAAATGGTCTATTTATTGTGTGACGCGATTCTCCCTTTTACAACTTTGCATTTGGCTCTGGGACTACTTTCACAAGTTTCAATCAAATAAATTGTACCATAAAAAACTAAATAAAAAGCCTTAAAAGGAGCCTTATTGGAGAAAAATAATGGTCTTGAAATATACATTTTTTAGTTGATCTTGCAATGTGCAAATAAATGGATACTTAGGTTTAAAGGGGATAATTATTGAAGTGAGTTTTGTCAGTGATCAGTATCTTCCCTACAGCAGACAGCAACAACTTTAATTTGTATAATCAAAYGGAGCAATCGAGTTAGTATATTCTTCAAACATGACCAGTTTCAAAGCAGATTTATGTCATCTTAAAGGAGACATGTCCTGCTTTTAAATATTTCATTTTAAAATTAAAATCATTCAGTTAGGGTCTATGTAAAGTGAAACTGGAATGCTTTGGTCYAAATTCCTCCTTATGGTAACTCCACAAGCCCCTCGATCTTTCTCCCCTTTTCTGAGGTGTGTCTCAGATCAACTCGTTTTGAGGCTGTCTCTTTAAATCCAAACAAGCCAAACATGTTAGAGACGACCAAAGTGTAGTTGGTAAGTCCGTTGTAAATAATTTAACATCATAGTTCAGAAAACAACATAGGAAACTCAACAGAAAACTGAACAGGTTGAAAAATATGATCTAAACAGAATATAAAGATATCTATACAGCAGCAGGGGAAAAAAACTTTTCTGCACTCCTAGAGACTTCAAATACACTACAAAATGTATTTAATGTCTAAATAAGTGATATGTTCCCTTTAAAACAATTTCATTTTCAAATTTGTGAAAATAGTTTATGTGATTGCAATTTTTATCGTTTTTGTACTGCTGTCTCTTTTGCATAAGATTGTTATTGAAACAGAAGCAAATTCCTTCTGAAGGGGCTGCCACATGACGGGTCTTTTAGTTTTGTTACACACCTAAATTTAAAGGATTAAAAGTATTTTCAGACCAAAAACTGGAAAATCTGGACATATTTGTGATTACTTAATGTTAAAATTAAAAAACTGAATTCAAGACTTTTGACTGAAATCGTTAAATGTCTAAAGCAAAAGTAATGACAGCGTAAAAGTTTAAAAACTAGATTTGCGTGGATTGATACGAAATGTTTGTAAAATTATAAGTTGCTTTTAAGAAAGCAGAAATCTCCTTAGGAACTAACTCAGACTAGATGTTTTTTTTTTTTCAGCTCTTGGAATTCTCCAAATTGAGATTTATCTGACCGCTCTCTACTGAAGGTAAGATACTGACTGCTCATTTCAACTCCAAAGAACCCTACTTCATAAAAAAATATCTTTTTTAAAGATGAGGTTTTGAGTTTGCTTTAGATTCCCTAAAAGAATCATTTACTTATTAAAGTCGTGTTTTTGTCTCTCAATAAAAACAGATGTTTGCATTCCAGCACATTTTTAACAAAAAGTACTCATCTCCCTGTGACCTTTGTAATAACTCGAAACTCTGTTGAAAATAACACAACAGTAACTCACATCCTGCACTCTGACTCACGGRTGCATCAGAGGTGATTCCAAACAAACAACACTTGCAGGAGCAGCCCTTACCAAGCACGACCATGACTGTCTTGATGAGCTTGATGGGAGTCTTCTTGCGGTTGATTGAGCCGTTGGTGTGTCGCGACATCGTCGTAATCTTCTTCCTCACGTAAGCGTAAATCCTCAGGTAGATCCCCACCATGACGAGAAAAACCACCAGGTTAGACACTGACCAGAAGACCAAGTAGCTCCTGCTAAAGATGGGGGCCAGCTTGGAGCAGTCCTTGAGGTTGCAGATGCAGTTCCAGCCCAGGCTGGGCACCGCCCCCATGAAGAAGGAGATGCCCCAAACCAGAGAGATCAGCAGGGTCACCCTTCTCTTTGTCAGGTTGCTATGAACTTTCCAATTCATAACAGAAATGTAGCGCTCCAGAGCGATAACGAGCAGGTTAGCCAGCGAGGCAGACAGGCTGACGTCCAGAAGTCCTTGGCGGATGAAGTACTGCGTGACGGTGAGCGTTCGGGACACCTCGCCGGTGTTAAACATGAGGTACACGTACGCTATGCCCGCGAGGAAGTCCGAGGCAGCGAGGTTGGACAGAAGATAGTAGAAAGGAAAGTGAAACCTCTTGTTGGTGATGACAGCAGCGATGACCATGGAGTTGGAGACCAGGATGAAGCAGCAGAAGAAAGAGCCCACAACCTGGACCAGGATGAGCTGGGTTCGGTCCCATTTGTCTTCCTGACCGCTGTTGTTGTAGAAGAAGGCCATGCGCTCATCGTAATGACAGCTTACATTCTGCTGGGCCATTTTACTGGCAGGGCTGTGAAGCAAGAAGACTCCAAGTTAAAACACTAAACCACCATGATGAACCATATCCACTCGTTTGCAAAAGCAACATCTGTTAAGTGCTTTACCACTGAGTAGTGGAGGTTTTAGTGGTAACCAATAATGGTTCTAATTTTCTGCTATTAATATTTAATATCCTTAGCCAATTTACGATTTAAAGTAGGACGTTTGAACACTTACAAAGTCCTAAACTCTATATTATGAGAAGTGGGGGGGATGCTGGATGAAAGAAATGTTGAGAATGTTATCAGTGACTAGATTTCTTCAAGGCCAAATAACTTCCCTCCAGGAAAAAAAAAAAAGAAAAACACCAGAACTGTAGCTTTAAACAGGGTTAACCTCACAGTGAAGTGTTACTATAATAACCCTGTTAAAACCTGAGTGAAAACAACAGGTTCAGGAAATGTCTTGAACACAGTAATGCTCAAAGACAAGTTTACTCAATGGTTTCTCTCATTACGCAACTTTACAACTTGTTCGACCTGATTTAGGCCAGTGATAAAAAAAAAAAAGTACATTCTATAAAAGGAAAAGACAATGGCAGGGAGTAAAAGTTTGTAATATTTAAAAAAAAAGAAAGAAAGTTTCAGTCGAAGAGGAATAAAACAGGTGAGTTTACCTGCGTGGTGGCGGGTTAGRCTGAAAGGCGTTGCGAAACCTTCCGCGCTGTGTAAAACCCCATTGCAGCTTTGTTCCTGACAGCTGGAGAAGTGCCCAGACTAAGCGGAGGAGCCGGCTGAAGGAGCCTGCGACTTGGGGGGGAGTTTCTGCCCGRTGACGTAGCGCGCGTCGACCCGCCCACACAGCTGAGGGCGCGCGAGACGAACCCACCGCTCTTTGATCACGAGATACAACAACTAAAAGTTTAGATTAAAAAGCAAAGAATTCTGGAGGTTTGACTTGACTGGATGCTTATTAAAACACACAGCCCTTCCTTCACATCACGTATGAGAGTGTGTGTTTCATGGAATAAAGTCATTCAGACTTTTCAGATAAGAACAGTTACCCAAGACTCAGTGTGTAGACCTATAAAACGCAATAGCGAAGTAAGATGACGTAATAGGAAAAGGTCTCATAATAGATACCGCAGTTTAAAAATGAAACAATAGCTCATTTAAAAATAATAATAAAAAGTCAATAAAAAGCAAACTAAAACAATAAATGACAACGTGCAGCAGCCAGGCATCAGAAGCAGCAGAYCACTGACTGGATGGTGAAGTGCAGTTGTTCCAGTGTTTCCCTGTATTTTTGTTTCATGTTCAGCATTTAGTTCCTGTCCAGGGCCGGCCCAAAATTTGTAAGGGGTCCTCAAAAGATTTTCACTTGCCGGCCCCCAACACTCCACAAAATGTATACTTTTTCAGTGCTTTCTATTTAATTTCTTGAGTGATTTAACAATTTCTACATCGTTAGTTGACTGTTTGGGGGTTGGTGTAATTCAAACTCATCAAGTTTTTWTTTTTTTATTTTTTTATGGAATTAAAACAGCAGCAAATATTCCTCTCCCTTGTTTGCATCTAAATTCAGAGATTAGTTATGGAAATTTTCATGTCAGGGTTCAGAACACCTTGGCACAGATATGCATGTGTGGTTTAGGCCTGACTTTTGGGAGACAGTGGAGACAGGAGATGTTTGTCCTGTGACCGGTGATAGTTTCGAACACCCGCTCTATCTGTAATGTGACGTGCTTTGGAGTCCATGGACTTCGATAAAGCACTATAKAAGTTCAGASTTACCGTTTTGCTTTAGCGCTCTCAGGCCGCTCAAATTTCTCTRTCGAAATTACTTTTTTGACTCTCGTTTTTACAGCTTTTAGAAGAGAAAACTTTACCTTATTTCTTGCTTTCAGCCTAGCGTCTCTGATTTTATTGTTATCCCCTTTGACTGTTTACATCTGGGGATTATTTTACCAACTCAATATTTGCTGGATGTGAGATGGTTTAGTTATCAATGTTTGAATGTAATTAAGCAACTCATAATTGTTGGCAATAAACCAAGAGCTCTGTTGAGTTGGACCATTTATTATAAATTATACAGCAGATATTTGGTAGGTAATGATGCATATTTAGTGGTTATTTTTATTATAGCTGATCAAATTTGAATCAAAAACAGTGAAAATTTGCATATTTTGACAGGCTATAATGACTTTAGGCCAATCCCTTCCAACAACCTTTTACATTGTTCAGGTTTTACTATCACCAAAGACAAAAAAGCAATTAAGTTTGTGCAATGTCCATGTGAGTGTGTTTATCTGTAATATTAGCCACATATATTGTAAAACAGTGGACAGATTTTAATAAAAAGTAATTACAGGTGCCTTTACAACTGATTAACCTTTGAAGAAAAAACAAATTAAGATGGCTGCCACAGATAACTGGGCTCAGCAAACACAAATATTGTAACTCAGTCAATTTAACAGATATTTGGCTATATTTGATTTGGTAGTAAAGCTGACATATGAGTGCTAATTCATCACATTRACAACTGAAGCTGTAGCCAACTCTCTGGTTGTAACCAAAATATATCCCGAACCACYCAACAGATTGAAATAAGACTTTGATAATTTGATATTTGGACGCTCTACTGATGAACTGTTGGAGTCRAGCTGATTCAARATGGCTGCCACAGAACTTAGCAAGCACCAAAACGCTTTATAAACAGTCAGCTGAGTCTCCTTAACATATGTACATTCTGAGCAAGATCTTTGCTTATAACTATACAGCGGGTAAAATAAGTATTGAACACGTCACCATTTTTCTCAGTAAATACATTACTAGAGGTGCTAATGACATGAAATTTTCACCAGATGTCGGTAACAACCCAAGTGATCCATACATACAAGAACTTAGCTGCTTTTTTCTTGCCATAATACAAATTCTAACAGTCTATTCAGTAGGACTGTCAGCTGTGTACCGTATCCACC